TCAGCAGGACAAGAGAATAAAAGCATTTGCAATTGGAATGTGTTTCTTTTATTCTAACAATTTTATCATAGTATAGTGGCCATTTTAATTGAATCTCAAAGCACTTATCCAGAGGCATTGTTTTTGTTTGTTTGTTTTTATTTTCTTTCTTACTACCTTCTCTGACAAGACAAACACTTCTGGGTATTGGTATAATATAGAACGAAAAAGGATTTTATTATTTTAAAGCTGCACACATGCAAATCTGGTCAAGAGTATTAGATAGCCTCATTTAACTCCACCTTTATTTCTGGAAGAGGAACTGGAGACCAACAAAGGATTTAGAAGGACAGAAAATAAAAGTACATTTTTAGACTCAATTCCTGGCCCTGATAACTTGGGAGATTTCAGAGAATCTTCCAGTTAGTCTGTTTATACTTGTCCAGTTCTTTTGTATGCTATTTCCTTTCTCAAGGTTTTCTTTTGTTTGTTCGTTTTTAAAGATTTGATGGGCTGTCCTAGAGAAAAGTGACTTATATTTAAGCAAGAGAAAAATTAAATTGGAAGTCACATAATTTTTTTAAAAGAAATTTGAGTTCAATTTACCACAGTATAAAAATAATGACTGAAGGCACTTTTTCATGTGTTGAACGACTGAATAAACGTCACTCACAGCCTCAGTTTCTTCGTTCTTAAGCTGCGGATAATAACATCTCGCAATGGGTGTTCTGAGGATTATATAAGATATAAATCATTCAATTGTCAGATGCTTTGCAAATAATAACTAATAACAATATTTCATTCCAATTTTGTAGGTGTGAAGACCAGGTACCTGGACATATCTCCAAATTTTAGTTGTTGGTCAGATTTCAGGAATCACCTTTCCTAAACTGATTAATCTGTTAAAAGCTTGAATCTGAAAACAACATTGTTTTCAGACAGTTCATTCTTCCATCCAGGGATGCCCCCCTAGAGAGTGTGGATGGGGATGTGTGTGTGTATGTGTGTTACGTGAGAAAAGTTCAATAATCAAAAGAACGTATTTCTGTGTTTTATATTGAAAAACAAGTCGCAGTCCTTATTTTCAGTTTCCATGGTCACTTTGTGAGACAGGTATCAGAGCCTGGGAACTGCGTCAAAAGGAAATGCCACAGGTTCCGCGCATTTCCTTCCAGGACCCGCGCAAAGGCGGGAGAGAGAATGGCCAATCAGAGCGCAAGTTTAGACTACTCCCGCCCCTTTCCGTCGAGCCCCGCCTCTTTTCCGTACCGCCCTCTGGGAGTAGGGGTGTGCAGCAGGCTCGTCCCGCCCCCTCCTCTGAGTGACAGGACCGTGGACAGCAACATTTCCAGCCGGACACATAGTTTGTTGGCCCTTGCGTTGGCTGAGCTGAGGTGTGTGTGTCCCGCGAGGGCGAGGGGACTGGGGAGGCCCTGCCCGGGAAGCTCGGGGTCGGGGACTGAAAGCAGGCGCACCTCCTTAGTGGGTCCTCAATGCGTTTAGGAGACGTTCGATCCGCCCCTGGGAGCGGCACTTGGGCGGGCTGGGCGGAGGGGGGCTCTGGAAGAGGAGGAACCCAGAGCCCGGGAAACCCAGTAGGTACGGTAATGACTTAAGGACTCTTCCCGGCGAGCAGGGAGATCGCGGTGGGGGTGGGGATGGGGGGCGCGGGATTCGTGAGGTGGGTGGGCGTGGCCGCCGTGGTTGCTAAGGAACGCGCGGTTCCCGCCCTGCCAGCGTGTCTGGCGCGGGCAGCTGGGCCCTAGAACCGTAGCCCCACCCACATCCCAAGGCCTTCCGCTAGGGTAGGGGCTGGCTCCCGTGTGCTGTCAGTTAATTCGCGTCTGTTAATTTCACTGTCCTGATCTCTGTGTCTATAGTTCCCGCTCAGGCCTCCCTCTCTCATGCTACTCTTCTCAACATTTTTTCTCACCTCCCCTTCTAAAATGAACAAGTATCTGCAGACCAAAACATGTGCAGAGAAGGGCTTCAGGCAGCCTGAGGTGGCTTTATTGCCAGGATGGTGGGGCGGGATTGGGTCTTTTACTGGTGTTTCGTGAATCCCTGAACCCACATGGTGTCCATGTGGATGACTAGGAAAAGGGAGATAGAAGATCTGATTTCTTCCACCTGGAATTCTTTTTAATCGGTGCTGTTTGAGCTCAATGAGCTTCTCAGGAAGTTGAGGCAGTTCATTATTGGACATGCCCTAATATATGATCTCCCTTTCGGACCCTATTATGGAGAAGGGTGGTACTAACCCTATAAAGCCCTCTTTTGCGTCACTGTCCCATATTTAATGATTAACTATGAGATGGTAACGATAGATAACCATTTCAAATCTCTTCTTTGCCCCAATCAGCTGGCCCCAAATGATTAAGCAGAACAAACATTCCAGGGAGAAAATACAAAGGAGCTAAGAGTCTGCTTTTACTTCCTTCTGCTAGGTTTACTGTATAAATCCCCAAGAAGGAAGCTTGTACTACTTGTTACCACTGGGAAGAAGACTGGCCTAAGTCAGGAATATAGCAGAGTTTGGAAATATTTGCCCTTGGGCAGTAACCCTCATAACTGTTTTCTCATCTGGAAAGTGGAGTTACTTATGTGCCCTTTATTTCTAAAAAGTAAGGAGGAATAATTGGTTGTGAAAGTGTTATTAAAGTAATGATCTACACGAATGTAAACTGTTATTGATTACACTTTTAATCTTTTTGTCTCTATGATCTCTGTTGTTGATTCTGTATTCTTGTTAGTACCTGAAATGTCTTGCATGATATATTTTTTTTTCCATTGACATCACTAGATTTTTTTCAAGTATATTCATAGCCTGAAAGAATTGGTAAAGAGTACTTTCTAATTCAATGATGAGTGACCTTTTTGGTGTCATATACCATTGTAAGAAGCCAAGGGAAGCTATTGACTCTCCCCTTAGAAAAAAACACAATTACAAGCATAAGTGGACCTTGGATAAAGAACATCTGTTTTTGATCAACTTCTTGAGGGTTAATAAAATTACTCTCCCACCTTACCTCACTCCAAAGAGTGAGTAATTTATATCCAAAACTACTTGGCTGGGAGCAGAATTGGGTCTCTTTCCTTTCTTACGCAATGCATCTCACTGTAGCTTACCTTAGTTCATGGTCTTCAGTGAATCCTTTTTCTTTTCTTTTCTGTTTTTAGTGTTTAACAAACATGAGCTACCAATGATCAATAAACTGTTGCTGTCTTTCAAAAACATGTAAATTGTATTTTATTCCAAATGCCCTTTGATCACCCTCTTAAAGAATATTCTTATATTTAAGCAAGTAAAAGATAAATTATTGTCAAATATTTGGGGAAAATGTTAAATTGTATTTTTGCAATTCTCTCTTCTATGAAAGTCCATTTTGGACAAAGAAAAGCTGATTACTTTTAGTGTATGCTACTAGAATTATTTAATTTAAATGAATGATCTTTTATAACATTATAATTTCCCGTGTCTAAAAAATATTGTGTTTGACTCCGCTTTGGCTCTTTTCCTGATTTCTGTGTTAAAATGGAAGGCTAGAAATAGAGATATTTTGTTTGTTAATGTACCTTTATCTAGCTTTATCGGTAAAAGTGGGCATCAGTAGTAGATACTATCATTAGACAGAGAAAACAATGAAAAGGAAAAATATGTAGCTTTTGTAATAAACATAAGAGTATTTAGGAGCACTGATTGTTTCTTTAGCACTTATAATTTTATTCGAACTGTTTAATATTTATTCCTTTGTTTACTCAACTCACTTCATTTCTAGTGGAGAAACTAGAATAAAAAACTGATTATAGGGCTTCCCTGGTGGCGCAGTGCTTGAGAGTCCGCCTGCCGATGCAGGAGACGCGGG